ACCGACCTACTACTACTACCGAAACAAACGACACCGCAACTCCTTCGACTACAGCAACCATACCGTACACAAAAGGCATGTCTGAGAACACCTCGCGCATCTTACAACCCTTCAATAACCGCGTCGCCCACAAACCCATCACCATACTACGTTAGTTACTAACCAATGTTAAAGACAAGGACGAACCGAGGAACAGACAGGGAGCGATTTCTAAGATCAATTGCTCCGATTGCCAAGACTCCTACATTGGAGAGACTGGCAGGAACCTCGCAACAAGACTGACTGAACACAGACGGGCGACGAGGAAAGGTGATGTCAACAATCACATTGTTGAACATCATCGACTTACGAACCACAATATTGACTGGGACTCTGCGCAATGCCTAACCTACAGCACTAACTAATTTCAACGACTAACTCTGGAAAGCTGTTTTATTAACTTAGACCAGACTCCCCTAAACAGGTGTCAACTACTACCGGCTCCATACAAACGACTCATTCACGACATTAACATTACAAACGAACCCAACAGAACGATCTAACTTTACCAACGGATCGAAACAGATCAATCACGACCGACTTACGCGACTTGAGTCTTACAGCCAATAACATCACAGCAAAACTGACCAATCATTTTACACGAACTGGACTAACAACACTCTACTGACAACAGCTATTCACTTGACTCTGACGATGACTTCCACACAGGTTGTCGAAATGTCAGTCACCACCACCGACAACAGTCCTTCTCAGGACTACACTCACCCGGACGATCAGACTACACTTTCACATGTTTAACTGACAACAAATAATTGTTTCGGATCATGTACTTACCCGGGAGATTCGTTGCAGACTTTTCTAAAGCCGTGATTCTGGTCGAGATCCACGAAGCCGTAAGCAAGCCTGTAACAGAATCGTTCAACTATTAATATAGAGGCGAGGATATTTTCAATACCCTAATCAAGCATACACGGTATTGCTAAATTCGAACAAAAAAGGGCACCATAGATCAACAAACTTGTTAGAGAAAATGTCGATTTAATATACAGTGCTTTCAATAAGACCTAGCACCCGCCGGAGCTCCGGCGGCTATTCTGTTGCGAGTCGCCGGGTATATTTCACCGCGCTCAAGTCGCAGTCGCCACGCTAAGTCGCAATCAAGTCGCTCTCCGGCGGATGTTGTACCGAGGTAGCCACCTATTTCAAATCTTATTGAAAGCACTGATATAATTCCTAAGATAAGCTGAATTCTACAAGCATTTTGATCGGTTTTTACTAATGATCTATTGGAGGACAGACGCGTAGCTAACGTCCCCAAAAACACTGTCGTAATATTGCCCAGCCTCCGTTTACGTACCTAGGCCACCAAATATAAAATATAGACGTTGATCATTATTTAGTGTGATGTGATTTAGTTCAGAGTGCTTCTTGCTTTGCAATTTGCAGTGTACATTATTACGTCTCCTGCTCTTGATCGAGAACTAGAATAAACATTTCGCTTTCCCATCATATGAAATAAAAAGATTCCATGTTGCTGTGGTTTTGTACAGAGGAAGATCACAGAAGACATTAACATGTGATAAGAACATCCGTGATGCACTCGGTTGCGACTCGTGTACCACTTTTTTGTGACGTCAACATCAATGATGCCCTCGGCTGCGCCTCGTGTACCACTTTTTTGTGACGTCAACATCAATGATGCCCTCGGCTGCGCCTCGTGTACCACTTTTTGTGACGTCAACATCAATGATACCCTTGGCTGCACCTCGTGTACCACTTTTTTGTGACGTCAACATCAATGATGCCCTTGGCTGCGCCTCGTGTACCACTTTTTAACA